AATATTTCTCACACTGATTGATTGTTCTACTCTCGTCTGAGTTTACGTATGAGGAAGTCTTTTTATGACTGCTTTATTGCTGCTTGCTCATCATAGGAATTTACTTGATGTGTTTATCTAGCAACAGTTTCATAGCTTTGCTTGCATCTTCCTGGAAAAATACTATGATACAGTGAAAAGAAGTAGAGCGGAGTGACAGTGAAGGAGGGAAGTATTCCTTTGTCTCTGTTCACAAATATGAAGGACTTTTAGCTCAAGGCACAGCCTGCAGTCCAAATTTCCAACGGTTAAAATGGCAGGTTAGCCAGGGAAAAGTTTTTGGCTGAAGAAGCAAGAGTGGCTGCTTTTCTTTGGCAATGTGCATTCAGAGTAGGTATCAGCTTGTTCTGATTTCAGCCGGTGTGGACTTACTTTTCTTCCTAGGAGCTGGCATAGTGCTGTATTTTGGCTTTAGTCTGAGAATAATGTTAATAATACGCTGATGTGTCAGTTGTTGGTCAGTAGCAATTACCCTGATCTAGGACTTTTCAGCCTCTCGTGCTCTGCCAGTGAGGAGGAGCACAAGAAGCTGGGAGGATGCAGAGACAGGAGACCTGGCCCAAACCAGCCAAAGGGGTATTTCATACCACAGCACGGCACCCTGGGACAGAAACCGGGGGGAGCTTATGTTGAACAACAGATTAGGGTGATCTTCTGGAATACTTGCTCAGCACTCGTTACTTTTGCCAGGTTTCAGGCCAAGCAGTCCTGCTGAAATCCAGTCTGTTACGCTGATCTACAAAGTTCCCAGCCAGGGCTCTCAGCCATCTTTAAGCTTCCACCTAGGTAGGGATATGCAGTACTTCTCATGCCCAGACTCTTCTACCACAAAGGTTGTTAATGAGTGTCTCCTATGGCTCAGGACACAGAGTGGAGCTGTCTAGGGAAGCAGGATGTTTGCACAGGTACCTGCTCACTGGGTATTGGCAGTGCTTTGTACACATACATCAGCAAACAGCCAAAGTTTGCTTGCCCTCAAACTCACTGAGGTGAGGCCATGGGAGGAAAAATAGGCTAAAAAACTTGCTAATCTTACCTGAGGATGCCAGAGGAAACCTTCTTGCATTCTACAGCTGAAAAGTGGTAACAAGAAATAGGACAAGAAGAAATGAGCAGGGGAGGTTTAAATTGCATACTTCTTCACCAAGTGTTGTCAAACGCTTCAACAGGCTGCCCAGGGAAGTGGTGGAGTCACCATCCCTGGAGGTGTTTCAAAGACATATAGATGGGGCACTTGGGGACGTGGTTTAGTGGTGGACTTGGCAGTGCTGGTTTAATGGTTGGACTGCATGATTTTAAAGGTCTTTTCTAATCTAAATAATTCTATGATTTAGGATGGTTCTAGCCTCAAAAGGTCCTCACTTGGAGTATTGTGTGCAGTTCTGGTGTCCTCAACATAAAAAGGACATAGATCTGTTGGAACAAGTCCAGAGGAGGGCCACGAGAATGATCAGGGGACTGGAGCACCTCCCATATGAAGATAGAGAAAGTTGGGGCTGTTCAGCCTGGAGAAGAGAAAGATGCATGGAGACCTCATAGCAGCCTTCCAGTATCTGAAGGGGCCTATAGGGATGCTGAGGACGGACTCTTCATTAGGGGCTGCAGTGATAGGACAAGGGGTGATGGGTTAAAACTTAAACAGGGGAAGTTTAGATTGGATATAAGGAGGAAATTCTTTCCTGTTAGGGTTCTGAGGCACTGGAATGGGTTGCCCAGGGAGGTTGTGAATGCTCCATCCCTGGCAGTGTTCAAGGCCAGGTGGACGAGGCCTTGGGTGATATGGTTTAGAGCGAGGTGTCCCTGTCCATGGCAGGGGGGGGTTGGAACCTGATGATCTTAAGGTCCTTTCCAACCCTAACTGTTCTATGATTCTAATTAGGTGAAATAAATGAGTTGAGCCAGCAGCTTACTTCTTCTGGGCAAAAGGTTGTGACTAGCTGAAGACTTTGTCTTCTTTCTTGTCAACAAAGGCAATGAAAACCAGAGGATATTTCTTTCAGACCTACCTTGGTTTTCCTTCACTCACTCTCTCATGTGTGTGTTTAGTATACGGGCCAAGAAGGAGATGCTGATGAGTGCAGGGTCACGGAGGAGACAGCAGCTGTGTGGAGGAACACTTAACACTTGCCATGGGGGTTACTTCTTAGGGCATGGGGGTTACTTCTTAGGGCAAAGAAATCTTTTCCTAAAGCAAGAAAATCCTACTAGTCAATACACAACTCTATGGGCCAGTACGTGAGTTAGTACACAGTACTAATACTTGTACAGAGTCTTAGCAGTTCTGCAATTCAGCTTAGGGTTTCTGCACAAGCATGAAGCCTGCAGGATAGTTCTCAGATTGTGTGCAGGTGACAGTGGGTCAGCAGAGGAGCCGGTAACCCGGCCTGAGGAAGCATTTGCTCTGCTCCGAGCACGCCATGCCCACAGCTCCGGTTCCAGAGACTGCTGCCGAGCACCATTCTCAAAGTCTGCTTTCTCCAGTGGGCTTTTTACAGCCTACAACAAACATGAACTCCACTCCTGCCAAGTGTTTCCTGGCTTTCTTGGTTTGTTTATTTGATTGTGTGCACCCCTTCCCCTCCCCAGAGACATAACACTCATTCTGTATAATCCCCAATTGCTAAAATATCACATTGCTTTTCTGACAAATGAGACAGGAATTAATACACCTAAGATTGTTTTCAAACATCAGTTCCGGATACAGGCATCTAGCTGCTGAGAGAAGGGCTTAGCTTGATAGCACTGACAGTCTTCGCAGAAGCTGGTTGCTAAGTTCAAGGCAACATTTATATACGAGAGACAACAATTAAACAGATACAGTTTTTAATTGGAAATAATTTAAAAGCTATGATGTAGTTTTATATTACTATAACCCATACAAGGACCACAAATTGTTTTAAGTTCAGGACAATATTGACAACCTATCTTTTGTTCCAGTGAAGACCCACTTATCTTATTAGCTCTTTTCTAGAAGAGCAAGTAGGCAAGCACACTGTCCCTCACCCTAACGTAAAACACCACAAACCCCAGGACAAACATAATAAAAATACCACACAAATTATTACCAGCTTTATTTCATATTCAGCATATAAACACGGGAAGATTCCAGCAGAGCAGTCTGGAATTGCTGCCTGCTAAACAGAGCTGAGTGAACTTGACTGTCTGCCAAAAGAAGGGGCTTCCATGCTGCTATGTAGAAAGTGTTCCTGTCCTCCTGTACATCCATTTCCTAGATTTCCAACAATTGTAACAAGGAACAGACTGGGAACTTTCTGGCTATGGAAATGTTGCTAAACACCAATAACTTGTCCCCACATTACTTGCTTTCTTAGAAACATACACAATTGCAGCCCTACAGGTAGTGAGATAGTTATCCAACACACTTGACAGCATTGGCTGGAAAAGGTATCTTGATGCTGCTGGGTGTTATGTGTAGGGATGGCCAAATCACAGGCAGATTTAGCTATTAAAAGGCTGCAGGACACCACTCAGTTTCAGCCATCATGCGCCAATTCAGACAGAAGAGTGGAAAATGAAACTGTGCTAGGACATTTTTGTTCCAGTGTGACACAAGGCGCGCCGAACCGAAACCTCTCAGATGAGATTTACAGGCTCCTTGTTACCAGAACTGCACTGCTGGTGCCACTTGGTCTAACTACTTCAGGACTGCCATTGCTATGTCTACATGAGCTAGTAGCTCCAGTCTGACTGTAGTGGAGATGGAGACCAAATACTGATTTGTGTAAGTCCGTGATTTGCAGTAGGAATGCACAAACTTCCCAGCTTGACACATGCTCTTTGAACGGTTTCATCTTTGCTCAGAAGCAACCAGCGCAGGCAGCATTGGCGCAGATTTCACATAAATCAGGATCTTGGACAGCCAGGTCTGTTAGAGAGAAAAGAGGGGGTTTCAGTGAAATGGCAAGAGACTTTCTTGGTGAGCAGAGCCACACAGCACGGCATTTGAAGACTCTTCTCTGTAGGCTTAAACTATAGGTTTAACTAGCAAGAGTGTGCATAGCTTTAAAGTAAAATAGTAAAATATAGCAAACTGTTCTGACTTGCTGACATGCAGGGAGTAAGCAATGTCCCGCTTACGGGGGAAGGAACATCACAGGACTGAAAACAGCTAAGGAGGCAGTAAATAAGACCAAGGATGCTAACCTTCAAGACAGCAGAGACTGGAACAGAAGAAAGAATAAACCACTTTCTAACTAACTCAGCACTAGGGCCTTTCAGCACTAGGATCATTCAGTAAATACAGTGAGGTAGACAAACAGCAACCTCCAGAGACTCCCACTCAGCAAGAAAGCCCATGCGTAATTTGGATGCAAATATTATAAGTAACTTCTGGGACTCTCATGAATATGTAAATAGTTTCATAGAAAGCCTGTAAATATGCATGAGTATACTAAATACATAGCCACTGCTGGCAAGCAGTGCGGGCGCTCACCTTTGCAAAACTGTGTGCGCACCCAGTGCTGCAATAAAGAATGCCTGCTTTCTAAAACTCCACATCAAGTCTTAGGGAGTTTCTTTGACCGCCTTTTGCAGTAACTTTTCCATCAGTGTTTTATGAGTTTTAATTTTCTAGGAAGTTGTTACTGGTTGAAGTAAAATCAGTTCTTGCAAAAACCTGGCCTGAAGAATGAGCTCAAACCTGAATTCCTTGGGAAAACAATGGGAATGTGGAGGCAAGAATAATTGGGAGGGTGATTGGGATGTACATGACAGACGTTGCCAAAGAGTGATCCACCTCATTTGGATGTCACACCTCTTTTAGGCTACCTGGAAAAACACCTTCTACACTGATTAGAGAGAGCAATGAGACCCATTCGGAACTTGCAGTTTGCTAGAACTGAGTGATACAACCCTGATTTTCCTGTAAGCCAGAGGATAGAGCAGGCTCTCTCACTTGAGTCGTGCAAGTTAGCATGCAGCCACCTGGAGGAAGCTTTTGCCTGGTTACAGCAGCCTGATCTGTGCAGGCTACAGCTCAGCTCAGCACATCAGGAACTGTACTGCAGGGTGCTCACAGCCAGTGTTGGCCATCAGCCGTAGGAGGGATAGAAAGGCAGCACGGACTCTCTCCTCTGCTTCAGAAGTGACAGGGCAAGAATCAGGTTTCCTTCCCTGCTGCTACTCGAATGTTTAAAGTTGAAATCGTGACAAAAATGGCAGCTATGCAATATGAGGTACGTACTCAGCCTCTCAAAAATCATGGATGCGTCTTCTCTTTTGCACACAGACTGGAATTCCTCAGGGAGATCTTTTTCATCACATGGAGAGTAGCTAGCCATTGAAAGCACAAAGCGAGGGTTAATGTGTCTGTTCTCATCCATAAGCCCCTTCAGCTTCTTCACAGACTCAAGGGAGAATTTCAAGTCTCCATCCTATGTAGACAGAACCAGAAAAAAAAAGGCATCAGGAAGTCAGCCTTAGGCAAATCTAGACCATTTCAACAATGAGCTCTCCCGAAAACTAGCCTATAGGAAGACGACAGTGTTGAAACCAAGTCTGTATAAAATCAGTGTTAACTGAAAGCAAAATAATCAGCTCTTCAAGGCAAAGACCTTTCAGAGCAGCAGTGAGATCTGGCTGGCCAGTCAGGATCTGCATTACGTGGATGGTGGCAGACTTAGTGCGTTTCTTGCTCCCAAGAGAGACACCTTAAAACCTGGGATTGAAAGATACAGGCTGGTAATCTTCAGCTAGAAAAGATGGCTTGGCAATACATGGTAGAGACTTATGAATTCATGAGCTGAATGGAGGTAAATGGGAGTTTAATTTGTTCACTCTTTCTTCTAATACACCAGTGGAGAAATTCAAGCATTGGCTGGCATGTGGCAAGATCTCACCAAGCAAAAAGAGCTATTCCTTCCTATTGCACATTGTTAAGAGCTGAAATCACCCACCCCAAGGTACTGTGTCAAGTTTTCTTCGATTTAAAACCGCCCACATGATTAATGGAACACAAATTATTGGCAACATAAATATGACACTTCTGACTCAAAGCTCATACCAAAAGCTTCAGGAGGCTGGGACAGTATTCTGGGAAGTATTACTCCATGTTTTATATTGCTAGACCCTCTGCATCTCTTAATGATCATTCCCTCAGTTTCAAGGGGATCTCACTGCTGAGGTTACAAACTTAAACTGCAGGTGTTGCAACTGTGAAGCTTGGTGCTTAAAGTCTGTGTATTCCCGCAGGTGCCCCAGTTTGGCCCAGAAGAGAAATAAGCATTTTCAAATTTACCTTTAGCATGTGTTTTAAGCTGGTTTCATGAACAAGCAGTCAGTAGTCAGTAGGATGATAAGTAACACCTACTCATTCAAAGAAATAAAGTGAAATGGCTTTGATACAGCCTGAGGCCAAATATGGCCACTTGTTTCAGGCTCACGAGCCCAGTGTTGAACAGTGTGAGATTGATGGGCGTGGGTTTACTCAGGTTAATTTATGGGTCATGGTTGCCGACAAAATATTAGCTTTTTCTGTATAAATACAGTTCTAGATTCAGCCATTCGTCACAGACCTCGAAAGCATAAAACCGAGAACTATAAAAGGATGGATTTGCACAGGTTCACTTTCAGAGAAACCAGAAAGTAGAAATGAACCCTGAGACACGTATGTCCTGGTGACAAAAACATCCAACAAGTGAACAACAAAACCACTAAAACAATCCACCTCCTCAGGCAACAAAGATGCTGGGGAGGGACTCTTCATTAGGGACTGTAGGGATAGGACAAGGGGCAATGGGTTCAAACTGAAACAGGGGAAGTTTAGATTGGATATAAGGAGGAAATTCTTTCCTCTTAGGGTGGTGAGGCACTGGAATGGGTTGCCCAGGGAGGTTGTGAATGCTCCATCCCTGACAGCGTACAAGGCCAGGTTGGATGAGGCCTTGAGTGACATGGGTCAGAGTGAGGTGTCCGTGCCCACGGCAGGGGGATTGGAACTTGATGATCTTAAGGTCCTTTCCAACCCTAACTATTCTATGATTCTATGATTCAAGAAAGCTCAACAGGAGCAGCATCTTCCCTCCAAGGTGAACATGCACCCTGTGTTGCTGAACTAAGAGACTTTATCACAGAAATAGCACAGCCCAGAACAATCCACCTCTCTAGCTTTTACTTCATACCTAGTAAACCATCTTCCTCCGATTTCCACCATATCAATTCAAGATCTATGATGGAACATGTCAAGATAGTGAATCCCAGTCTTCAAAATCATTATATGAAGTCAAATGAAATTCTGCTTTGCAAAACATTTGGTTAGATGCACAGGAGCATAAGCCAACCTTGTTCACTAATTACTACTTGTCAGACCTTCTGCGACCACGATTAGTCTAAGTGAAAGGACACACACGCAGTGTACACTGCATACATCTGTGGGAAAAAATACAGATTTAATGATTAAGGAGACAAAAATCCAAACTACAAAGCGGATCTAAAACTACAGAGCTGCATTTTCTACACTTTTACCCAACAGCTATTATCATTTGGTTATTTTTTATGCTTCCAGTGGAAAACCAATTTTTTTCATTAAGTAGGAAGCTCTCTGTTCCCCCAGAAACACTCTAATGTTACACAGTCATTTGGAAGAAAGTAATAGCTTAAACCTACTATTTCTGGATATCTCTGTCATCCAAAGGAGAAAAACCTGGTATTTCAAGGCACAAAAGTAGGACTTTATACCAGGAAACCTACTGCACACATGCAGAGTCAATAACTGCTTAAGACATATTAATTCTTTGGGTACTCTGAGGAAGTTATTTTACATTTCAATCCAAGACACTCCCAGGTACAGACAAGAGTACTGACTTGCTTGACTGCCTCCAAGTTACACAAAAGTGCTGTGTATCTTGGAAAGTTTTATATAGCCTTCTCTAATACCTCACCTGCCTATTAGTAGTTCATTGGGTTCAGCTAAGCAGTTCTTTCACCTATTCGAATGATATTTGTGTAGGCTTCATCTCATAAGCTGATCATTTTCATAAAGAACTTCCTGCCTACAAGCAGGCAAGACAAGACAATTTCTTTTGTCACATCTTGTTTACACCATTCTGTAAAGCTAGAGCTGTTCCCAGTCTAGCAGCTTCACAACACACGGGTTATGTTCAAGAGAAACACAGTGCCTCAGTCTGCAAGGGATTTCAAAGCAGGGATAAGGCTGGTGAAGTTAAACTGCACCATGTTAGTAATGCCCAAAGCACTTCATAGAAAGAAAAACAGAACTACAGCCAGATTAAGTTGGATATCAAGCCAGAGCAAAGCAAAACTTCAGGGTTATTACTTAAGATTGCTGCTGCAACCGCAACACCTCCCATGGTATCAGCACTTCATTGAACCTGCAACAGCAACAAACTAAAGAGCAGAAAACTCACCTGAACGTAGACTGCCTGAGAGCTGTGCACCAGTGAAAGGACTGCAAGGACTGTAAAGGAAAGAAAGCCTTTCATAGTGCTTGCAAAGTACAGCCTTTCCGAATCTGAATGTACCGTAATAGATATTTGAATATCTTTGCTCTTTGCCTTCTTTTTCTGTCTCTCAGACTACCTCCTTTCTTCAAGCACTCTCACAGCCTCGTAGTCAGAGCTCTGTGTTTCCAGTGCAAAGCTGAAGCTTTATAAAGAATTCACATAGCAATTCCTGGGTAATCCATTAAACCAAACTCTTTATTGACATATGATAAACCCTCAGCAGACTATCAGTTATCTACTCCTGAGCAGAGCAGGACATTCACACCCAAGCAGATCCGGGGGTTCTGACTCTCTCCCTCTTTGAGACACTGGCCATGACACAGGCAAGCCAAAGGTGCCAGCCTACACTAAGAAAAACCACAGAGCTTGATCTAATGCAGCACCTGAAACTCAGTCTTTCTCTGAGGGATGCGCTCAGGTTTCTGAGCACGGGCTGCAGAGCTGTGGAAAAGAGAAATTCTGCAGGAGATCAAAACCCCCAGAAGCCTTGCACTGCTCGCTGGCCAGTCAGTGCCCTCTTGTGGGGATTCCAGGCACTAAGAAAGTAGCAATGGCCAAGGAAGATAAACACAGGTTGTGCCTGCGTATGACCAGCTCTAAAATGTCACCTTGCTTGTGCTTTTTGCTACAACACATTAAAATGGCCATATTAAAAGGCCCAGGGACTGTCCTTAAGGAGGCTGCAATGAATTGCGTTACCCCTCTCTGGGGAGCTCTCTCAGTCTCCCCAGAGCCCAGCTTCAACAGTGAAAACTTCCAATCCCTGCTCCCATGCCTGAGGTTCCAGGACACAAACCTGGTGCCGGGCATCACCTGCAAATGGCGAGCTCTGGAATGGTGCCACCAACACGGCAATCCACCCTGGAACTGATCACCTAAAACTGCATCTGTGTATTGCCCTCTGCTGAGAGCTTTCGGCTCTGCTGGAGAACTGCTCTCAGAGGGCAAACATCCAGCCCCTGCTCCCACACCTGCAGCTGCCAAAGACAGAAAGCTGTTGCTGTGCGCAGCCTGCACCTAGCAAGCCCAGGAACAATCCCACCAACACAGCAGTGCACCCTTGATTAGCCACCCAAAACTGCATCTGCATTCTGCATCTGTGTCTTTTCACTTGCACTGATGAAGGTCCCCTCCTAGGGACCCGTGTGGGGATCCTGGAAGAGCTCCGGTACCAAGGCCTTGACCTGGATGTTGCAGATGGTGACGTCTGAAATGGACGCAGCTGCCCAAGAGCTGGTTCCTGCTCAAGACTGTGAGAGACAGCAAAGGGCGATTCTGACAAACTGTAGCTGGTAAAGGAGACACATTTTTGTCCTTGTGGCTGTTCAGCTGCAGGAGGCAGGAAAACCAAAGGATGCAGCAGTTCTGTGACCTTCATGTTTGGCACCTGAGGCCAACGCGCTCCGTGAGGACAACAGGGAGGTCAAGAGAACCTGCACGGCCCCACAAGTAAGCAGTGACAGAGCCGGCATAAAGCCCTCTGCTTTTCTAAGGGACTAAAACCAGGAACCTCAGGGTGCAGGGGTTTTCCTGGCAGCCAGCTGGGTTTGGGACCCCCAGGGTGCTTTGGGAGTGCAGGGAGGGGGTTTGGGGGGCAGAGGTGGTTGGAGCGGGTCCCATGAGGGGTTCTGGGGGTCCCAGCAGAGGTTTTGGGGGGTTTGGCGTTCTGGGGCTTTCAGGGTGCAGGGGTAGAGCAGGACGCTTGCTGGGGCTGAGGCTCTGGGGAGGGGAAGGGGCTCCAGGTGCAGGTGGTTTGAGGTGCCAGGGGGTTTCGAGGTGCAGCCCCCAGCAGGGGCCATGGGACAGCAGAGCAGAGCTCAGTTGAAAGGGGCCTACAGCAATCCTGCAGTGCAACTGCCTGACCAATTCAGTGCTGGCCAGAAGTTCAAGCACGGTCTCGAGGGCATAGTCCTTACTGGCATTGTCCATACGGCTCCCCAGCACTCCCAGGCCTGGCACACCAGGGAGCTTGTGCCAATGTCTGAACCCCCTCTTCCTAACCCCAAGTGTGAGCCTGCCCTGGCTCCCAGGGAGATCAGCACCGCCCTCCCCATGTCCCCTCTCCAGGAAGCTGCAGAGAGCTCTGTCCTGCAGCCTCCCCCCTGCTCCCCAGGGAGCCCCTCCTCGCCTGGCCCTGCTTCCCTCGGGACCCCGTCCTGCTCGACGCCCCTTTGGCTCTTCCCCCCTGGAGGCCATCGCTGCTCTGTCCCTCTCCCCCTCCTCCCCCCGACCCACCTGCTGCTGCCCCTCAGCCTCTCCGGCTCGCTCCTGCCCTGCTCCTCCGGTCTCGAGGGCATAGTCCTTACTGGCATTGTCCATACGGCTCCCCAGCACTCCCAGGCCTGGCACACCAGGAAGCTTGTGCCAGTGTTTGAACCCCCTCTTCCTAACCCCAAGTGTGAGCCTGCCCTGGCTCCCAGGGAGATCAGCACCGCCCTCCCCATGTCCCCTCTCCAGGAAGCTGCAGAGAGCTCTGTCCTGCAGCCTCCCCCCTGCTCCCCAGGGAGCCCCTCCTCGCCTGGCCCTGCTTCCCTCGGGACCCCGTCCTGCTCGACGCCCCTTTGGCTCTTCCCCCCTGGAGGCCATCGCTGCTCTGTCCCTCTCCCCCTCCGACCCCCGCTGCTGCTCCTCAGCCTCTCCGGCTCGCTCCTGCCCTGCTCCTCCCCTCTCCCGCCCTTGCCCACC